AGTAAACAGCGATCAAACACCTTTTTTTCGTTTCCTAATTTGGTTGACTGGCCGGCTTCTGAAAACAATTTATCAACGCAAATTCATATTCACGAGTATAAATCAGAAAGAACAATTCCTTGAAAGCATTTCCAGCACGAACAATTTCACCCTCTCAATAGGCCTACTTCTTTGTTTTAATAAGTCTCTCGTCCTGTGTAGAGGAAATACAATATTCCATGTAGTTGTATTCAGTGACAAGAACCAACGATCGAACGAGTCATCAATATTAAAACTAAAAGGAATTTCCTCCGAACAGTTCAAGGGATGAAGATGAAACCTTGAAAAACATTAATCCTTGTCCAAAAATGAGGTTCTTTTCGTGATGTCATCATGACTTCATCGTATATGAAATTATTCACGATTTGAGGTCAAACATTTACAAATACTTTCTTTAATTTATGAACAGAATTGGATACACTGTTCAGACCCCCCCCCTTTTCCTCAAATAAACCAGTAAGGTTTCCATGAGGTTATAGATATTGCCTTGGGCAACATGTTATATTTTTGGGCACAATAAAACCGCTTGACCTTATCTTCCGGGGTGCAAAGTGCAAAGATAAATTAATTTAACTTTTAAAATGAGAAGTATTTTAAAAATAATATTTTTTTCTTATGTCTTGGGACACTAAACACAAAAGAAAACGGTGATGAAGCCAGAAAATTTATTTTAAGATGATCAGCATATGTTGCATATGCAGAAAATCAATATTTGGGAACAGTGTAGCCGCGAACCATTCTTTAGATAGATTAAAGCAGAATTTTATTATGCCCTGCAAAGACAAAAAAGCCATCATATCTATTTTGAAAATGATAAGCCTATGCTGCATAAACTCCAAAGACGTTAGAGGCTCCGTCAAACTCCATATTGATGGCTACCGAATTACCAATATACTGTTTTTTATTTTTGAGTAGCCATATGTGCAGCACCAGCAACGCTCTTCAAAAAGTGAGATCGTGTCTTCCATGTATAGGCCTACATTTGCCGAGGCACCAACAAACTTCAAGTGTAGTAAACAGCGATCAAACACCTTTTTTTCGTTTCCTAATTTGGTTGACTGGCCGGCTTCTGAAAACAATTTATGAATGCAAATTCATATTCACGAGTATAAATCAGAAAGAACAATTCCTTGAAAGCATTTCCAGCACGAACAATTTCACCCTCTCAATAGGCCTACTTCTTTGTTTTAATAAGTCTCTCGTCCTGTGTAGAGGAAATACAATATTCAATGTAGTTGTATTCAGTGACAAGAACCAACGATCGAACGAGTCATCAATATTAAAACTAAAAGGAATTTCTTCCGAATAGTTCAAGGGATGAAGATGAAACCTTGAAAAACATTAAACCTTGTCCAAAAATGAGGATCTTTTCGTGATGTCATCATGACTTCATCATATATGAAATTATTCACGATTTGAGGTCAAACATTTACAAAATACTTTCTTTAATTTATGAACAGAATTGGATACACTGTTCAGACCCCCCCCCCCCCCTCTTTTCCTCAAATAAACCAGTAAGGTTTTTATGAGGTTATAGATATATGTTATATTTTCGGGCACAATAAAACCGCTTGACCTTATCTTCCGGGGTGCAAAGTGCAAAGATAAATTAATGTTACTTTTAAAATGAGAAGTATTTTAAAAATAATATTTTTTTCTATATGTCTTGGGACACTAAACACAAAAGAAAACGATGATTAAGCAGAACATTTATTTTTAGATGATCAGCATATGTTGCATATGCAGTAAATCAATTTTTTGAACAGTGTAGCCGCGAACCATTCTTTAGATAGATTAAAGCAAAATTTTATTATGCCCTGCAAAGACAAAAAAGCCATCATATCTATTTTGAAATGATCAGCCTATGTTGCAATAAACTCGAAGGACGTTACAGGCTCCGTCAAACTCCATATTGATGTCTACCGAATTACCGATATACTGTTTCTATTTTTGAGTAGCCATATGCGCAGCACCAGCAACGCTCTTCAAAAAGTTAGATCATGTCTTCGATGTATAGGCCTACATTTGCCGAGACAACAAACTTCAAATGTAGTAAACAGCGATCAAACACCTTTTTTTCGTTTCCTAATTTGGTTGACTGGCCGGCTTCTGAAAACAATTTATGAATGCAAATTCATATTTACGAGTATAAAGCAGAAAGAACAATTCCTTGAAAGCATTTCCAACATTAACAATTTCACCCTCTCATTTCCAATAGGCCTCCTTCCTTGTTTTGAAAAAAAGTCTTTGTCTTGTGTAGAGAAAATAAAATATTCCATGTAGTTGTATTCAGTGACAAGAACCAACGATCGAACGAGGCATCAATATTAAAACAAAAGGAATTTCTTCCGAATGGTTCAAGGGATAAAGAGGAAACATTGTTACAAAAAGTCCTTGTCCAAAAATGTAGATTTTTGAGTGATGTCATCATGACGCCATCATATATGAAATTACAAGCGATTTGAGGTCAAACATTTACAAATACTTTCATCTTTAAGTTTTGAACTGAATTAAATACACTGTTCATATCTTTTTTTTCTCAAATAAAACACAAAGGTTTTTGTGAGGTGATAAATATTGCCTTGGGCAACATGTTTTATTTTCGGGCACAAAACCTTTTGACCTTTTTTTCTGGGGTTACTGAAAGTGCAAAGACAAATGAATATAACTCTAAAATGGAAGCAGTTTTTAAAATGACGATTTTTGTTTTTGTCATCCGAATTACCGATATACTGTTTCTATTTTTGAGTAGCCATATGTGCAGCACCAGCAACGCTCTTCAAAAAGTTAGATCATGTCTTCCATGTATAGGCCTACATTTGCCGAGGCACCAACAAACTTCAAATAGACTCAACAGCGATCAAACCCCTTTTTCAGTTTCATAATTTGGTTGACTGGCTGGCTTCTGAAAACAATTAATCAATGCAAATTTATATTCAAGAGTATAAAGCAGAAAGAACAATTCCTTGAAAGAATTTCCAGCATGAACAATTTAACCCTCTCATTTCCAATAGGCCTCCTTCCTTGTTTTAAAAAGTCTCTCGTCCTGTCTAATTGTAAGGGAATATAAATATGTCGCCAGAATTGGGCGATTGAAAGAGTTAAAGATTTAGGCTTATAGCTACCAAAATGTGCAGGCCTACATGCCCGGGGGGGGGGGGAGGGTGGACCTGAGGCCAGTAGGGACGATGGTCCGTGTGCCTCTTCCATTCTTAAACAAAAAAATCTTAACGAAAACAAAGGCTGTTTCGGCAAATGAGCTGAAAGAGCGAAAAATGCATTACTTTTACTTGTGACATTCAGAGACAGAGCTGTGACGGTTAGGCCAAACAAAAAAATACTCGGTCTCTGGTCAGCAGGCGTCGATTTTAATCATGCGCGTCAACCTTTTTTTTCTTCAAATTAACACGGAAGCTACAACAGCGCCCTCTATTGCCGCACCTCCTCAAATTTTTGTACCAAGGAGCACCAAGGAATGGGGAAATTGCACCAAGGCAAATGATAAAGGGCACCAAGGCATAATATGGAGGACACCAATGTATAATGAGGACACAAAAAAGCAAAATAATACCCACCTTGTCTGTACATTGCAAGCTTGAAAAAAAAAAAAGCCACCAAAAAACAAAACAAAAACGCGTCGCCGCATCAATTCTGGAACTTCGGTCTGACCGGAGACCGACTATTTATTTTTTTTGGCTTTTGAACTCTTAACCATCTTATTCTGCAGCTGCTGCCCCCCCCCCCCCGGAAATTTGTTAATGACCATGGTTAACAGCTTTTACAAAAAAATGGTTTGTGGGTCGTTCTTGATAGTCTTAAGAAGCCTGTTGCTTTTGGGGCCGACAGGTCAAATGTCAAGGCCAATATTGGTAAAACAATAGAAATATTGTCAGCACGAATGATTGAGAAATACTTTACTTGGGAACTTCAAATTTGGTTTGTGGGTTGCTCTTGGTAGTCTTATCAAGCCTATTGATTTTGGGGCTGACAGGTCAAAGGTCAAGGTCACTATTGCTAAAACAATAGAAATGTCCCATTTTGGTTAGGGACACTGACTTTATAACAACCTGCTAGCATGCCAGGGGGATTGCGCAAGTCTCACTTGCAGTATTTTTAAAAAGGCATAGTTGTGTGGATGTTTATATCCTACTTTTAAATGTTCTGTCCGATGTAGCCCACTAGCTTGGGCTCATTCCATGACGCAGTGTCCCTTTCAAATAAAAAGCAACCCTGTGTGTCCATTTCATTTTTAAAATTAATGGAATACCAGATAATTAATGCAAGCAAGACTGTAGCACATTTCCAGACCTTACGGTATGTAATCGGAAGCAGATGTCATTTTTCTTGGCTTTTTAATTTTGGAATGCTGGGTATTGCACATTACCTTTCATGAAATTAGATCTGTTGCCAAACGTCTTTGGTTTAAGATGTACGTGTGTGCGTAAATATGCAACCAGCTGCGAATAAAAAAAAGTAATTGAGTAGGGAAATGCATTCTTCTCATACATTTACACATGGACACCAGTGTGCGGACATTCTGTTGAAACCGACAACGCATACTGCTCAGCATTCAGCATGGCTTGACATCTAGCGCCCTCACATCACGTGGTATTCACAAGTACGCCAACTGTACACACCGCGCCCTCTACCGTTCCCGCAAGAAGCCAGTACTTTACCACAATCATTACTCTCCACATTGATCTCTTGAAGTCAATGTTGATGTGTGTTATTCAGAGAAGCTTGATCTTGGTTCTTGGTTGGTTCTTCTCCTAAATACTCTACGTGGGAGTTTATACAGGAGGCCAGAAACACCGGGGCAAACCCCTTCTCTTAGCGATAAGTGTTTACTGGGTTCTTTTACGTGCATTTATACAACACACTGGACCTACGGCTTAACGTCCCATCCGAAGGACGAAGCAATAATGGTTAGGTGCCTTGCTTAAGAGCACAAGTGTCCGCCGGCGGGCTCGAACCCACGTCACTGTTGCCTCTGAAACACCAGAAAGTGAGTCCGGTGTTCTTAACCGCTAGGCCATCACACTCCCTTCGTCAATAAAGGAGCAGTCAACAAGAGCAAGGGTGACAACTCTCAGAGATCAGAGGTAGAACCTGTCAGCCAAGCTGGTTCATCCATCTGCCTTTCAAAAGGCAGTCAGTCGAGTGAGAACTTGATTGCCATCACTACATCCTCTCGTAAACTTCAAATTTGAACTTGATACCGTTTTCTTCTTGTATCTCACCATTGATGTCTGGATCACTGTAAGAAATGCAAAAGCGAACGAATATCTGAGAAAGCCCTATGTTCAGGCTTCTAAGTTGTTAAGTTACTACTAGAACCCAGATTCAAATTGTCATTTTGAAAATCAGTCAAATAATATGGACTCGGTTTCAAAGTGCCTAGAAGTTAGGAAAATTGAAATGCGAAGCAACTTCATGTCACAAAACATTTGCTTCGACATTCGCCGGAGTTGAAAAGTGTTCAACTTTTGCAAATTCGCTTCCCGAAATCTTGCCATGACACCACAAATTTGCATTTGCGTTCGCTTTTATGCTGAGTATGAACCTGCCTTTCACTATGGCCGACACAATAGAAGTGTACTGTTTGGTTTGGGCAGAGCCGTATATAGAGAGAGTTGCGACATAAGGGTTGCAATGTTTCGAACCAAAATGGCGGATTATGCATCAGTGTACATAAACAATTCGTACACAATAGTCGCACGCTGCACTGTATACACAATGAACGGCCATTATGGTTCAACAGTCTGAAGTTGTCGCAACTCTCTTTATATACGGCTCTGGGTTTGGGTGAATACAAAAACTTTACCAAAATCAAACAGCGCCTTCCTATCGTGTTCGCCACACCTCAAATAGGCTAATAACGTATTCCGCGAGAATGTACGCAATTCCTCGCAACTTTATAGGGCTCGTTTTCCTTCAATTCTCTGTAGGAAAACGCATTTTACAAAAACCAAGCACGCAATGCCCAGTGTTGCATATGTTCCAAATACGCGCGCTTGTTGCTCGAAATACGACGCAGACGAAGCGAGTTAAGCAAGTTGACGCTCAAAATGCCAATGCACGAGGCCATCTGTAAGAAATGACGTCATTTGAACGAGACCTATTGAGACCAGAGTGTGCACAGTCTCAACTACAAATTAAAATAAAGATTACCTGACAAGTTTAAATTTGGTGGAATCCACATCGGGGCAGAAGGCGTCACACTGGAAGTCGCCGTATACTCGTGTGATGTAATATCGATGACACTGAGGGGATTCCAAGCCCGCCTGTTCACAAAATAATACACATATACATCAGTGGGAATGCATTACTTGGCTAGGGCGTGTCATGGGAAGCGGCTAGAGCCAGCTGCAGCCGCTTCCCATAGAAATGTGTGTAACTTCAAGCCATAGCCAATCAATTCCGACGCAGCCTGACGCTGCCAAAAAATGACATTGACATACACTCAGACATTTTATACATGTTTTTGCGTTGATAGAAATCTAAGATGGCTGGCCTCCTTCTCCTTTCAAGTTTCATCAACAACAATTTGGATTCGCGTTGAAATTTGTGCCTGGACTCATCCAAATTGGGAATGAATTAAGATGCAAGGTAGGTGGACGGATTTCTCAGTAAGGGGTCCAGAAGAAGTCAAAAGGGGCCACAGAGATCAACCGAGGTCAATAGGGATCACCCCAAGTCAATAGGGATCAACAGAGGTCAATAGGGATCAACAGAGGTCAATAGGGATCAACAGAGGTCAATAGGGATCAACCGGGGTCAACCGGGGGCAATAGGGATCATCTGGGGTCAACAGGGGTCAATAGGGATCAACCGAGGTCAATAGGGATCAACCAAGGTCAATAGGGATCAACCGAGGTCAAAAGAGGTCAACAGGGGTCAATAGGGATCAACTGAGGTCAATAGGGATTGACCGAGGTCAAAAGGGATCAACCAAGGTCAATAGGGATTAACAGAGGTCATCAGGGCTGATTTGGCAACTCTTTCTTCTACCTTATACACTCCATAGCCTCCTATTATCCAAACATTCTCCACCACATCTCTGAGTGAGGGGCCTTCGATAATGGCCAATGCCTCCTCCAGACTTTGGCACAAGTAGTCCGCTCTTGGTGGTACTTCTCTGGAGAAGAAAGAAAAGAAGCATGTGATCATTGGAGAATATATTTTGACCCAATGACACCATTATTCAGATCCATAACAATACAAAAGGGTGGCTGACACCACTAACTCACAGAGCTCTTTCTGCCCCTCGTATTTATGAAAACAGCTTTTTTCATGATGCACTTTTAAAAAGTTACGTAAAATTAATTCGGGGGTCTAATCATCATTCCTCGCAGGATCAGCAGCTGAATAGCGAAGGACACAAGTACAACATGGTCGAGCCGAAGGCATGCAGAGACCTTTAAGGCAGCCATCATACTACCCATGTCTCACCACGGAGCACAGCCTGATCAAAGGTGTTGGTTTTTGCCAGGGGAGGAAAACCACAGAACCTGGAGAAAAACCCTCGTGCTACAGGAGAGAATTTTCGGGAGCTGCTAAGGGAATGAACCCGGGCCATAGGGGCAGGGGGCGAGCGGCGATCACTTTAGGCACTGCGCACCCATGCCACCCATAAAAGAACATCCAAGACTTATTCTATGGACAAAGAAGGCATCGAATCCCTTAATATTACAAGCTCTAGCTCACTTCAACGTCTTGCTGAGGACAAAGAACAGCTTGCTGGGTTTTCTCTCTTGCCTAGAGATGGATTCGGTCAGTCGGCCAACGATCATCGCATTCTTCTTATTGGGACTGACCTTGGTGACGTGGCTCATATAAAACTGTCTGTCTGTCCTATGAGAAAAATAAAAAAAATAAAATTCATTGTTCAATTCTTGGTACAAATAAATTGAAACCCTTTCAGCACATTATAACTGACTGGGATCGTATCTTTTAGCTCCATCCAAGTTAAAAGGACAATTGCAACGTTATATAATGTCCATGACAGAATTTTTAAGAGCTCAGTGAATAAACCTGAAAATGTGTTCTTCAAATTTTAATCCCCCATGTAATGGTCAAAGAGATTACAGACTAGGAGTTCTGGATCATTTCTCCGAGTCATCGATAAGATATCAAAGTTAAAGGGAATGTACATCATTGGTGTTTCATGTAATTTTCAGAAATGAACTATTTGAGGCGTTAGTATGAAGGATGTGAATCTACGTTTAATTTGATAAACATTTAGCAAAATTTTCCCGTAGCGTTTAAACGTTTAGTCAACACTTCAAAAAGACTGCCGCCTGTGTCCCAGTATAATGTGCCATAACTGCGGTCACATTTATATACACTTGTATACACTTTAACCACCATTTTTCCCATGTTCTTTTGAAGTCTGCAGGCTAAATAAATTAAGAAGAAAAGAATCGTCTGCATTCTGCAAGTGTTGTCAAATCAAATGAACACACACTCAAGAAATGTCAAGGCCTGTGTTTAGTAGGAAGGGGCGTAATCATACATGTCGCCACTACATTTAAGTTAAATGGAATGGAGTTTGGCCGCCACCATGCATTTAAGTTTTTATCAGACTTGTGTTTTCTTAAAAAGAAGTGGTTTTCTGGCTAGGAAAATAGCAAGGAAGAACCGGTTTTGTGCAAGCAAAGTTCAGGGAATAATCTGTTGATATTAATAACTTGTTGGAAAGTTCCAAGGTCATTCCAAGAAAGTTGCCGCCGTGAATTAGGGTTTAAAACATGGGAGGGAGATGGGATTTGCTATCAGCATCAGCAGGGCCGTTCCTCATTCTTTTCTTTTTATGGGATGTATGATAACATTGGAGTACGAGGGGCTCTGCGAGCTGATGAAATTGTAAGGCACGGGAACCAGTCTAGCTGGCCTGCACCTGTTCATGAAACATGTAACCAATAGCAAACAAAATTTGGACTGAAAAAAATGGTTAATTTGGAGCAGTAGTTGAAAAATAGTTGGGTTTTTCCAACGCTGGTCGGCCGACCACCGTTGGAAATGTATACAAAAATACCATTTTCTTGAAAATGACTTCACACCAGGTGCCATAATTTTACAAAATGCTTGAGACTAGTATCATTTACCAACATCCTAGTAAGGTATTTCGTAAAAACTTGGTAGTTTTATTTTTCGATGTTTGCAAATGTTGTATATTCCCTTTAAGTGGCTCTGTCACGGACACTGCACTTTCTTTCATATTGCTGCAATTGCCCAGAAAGAAAAATTGAAAATTGCTGGTGTTGTATGTATACACAAATATCACGCACTGCAGAGACCCGTTAATTAAATTAACATATTAAATTTAAACCTGTTATTAGCAATTGATAATTCTTTTGAAATTTGCAAGGGACTGTCTGACTGATTTTCATGGAAATGCTAAGCACTGATCAGAAACGTTGCTTAACAAATTCCCTTATTAAGCGAATATCAGCAATACAACAACATGCAATTTTGGCTGCAACTGCTATATGCTTAGCAAAATATAATAAACTCCAGCGAATCTGACGACAGGGAACAAAGCACTGTTTCTTCATTTATCAAATAAACCAAAAAATGGATTAAGGCCAAAAAAAAAAGTTCCCGTTTCTGGTATGGAGCTTGCCCAAAAAGTGGTGCGGCGACGCGGCTTTTTTTTTTTTTTACCTGAATTTTTTGCTTCAAACGTCGGCTGATGACTGCAAATAGCGCCCGACTAAACTTAGTGCAAATATATGGGAGTCCAGAGAGGCCACATAAAGCTTATTCTCGACCATATCCCAATCTAAAAACACGTTAAAATTGTGCAGCAGCAGGATTCCAGTCAAACCAGTGAGTTTGGCGGTTTTGAGACATCATCTTTCATTGAAAAAAAACTTTTTCATTTTGCCGACGCGCATGGCTACGGCGACGCGCGCATACCAGAAACCGGAGACTTTTTTTGTTGGCCTAACGCACTAATTAAACGGTATACAAAATTCTCACGGTAAGTTCCACGGAAGAGACACGTCTTTCCCAATTCCGAGTTTGTCATCTGCAGCAACAATCATGTTGAAGCGTACTTTATGCTGGTTGGACGCCATCACTCCTAGGCCTGATGTCCTCGAGTGCTTTTATCCCAGAGTCTTGATCTGTCGAAGCTTGCGAAGCACGTCCTGAAAAAGATTTGTTGAAAGAAGTGTTTCATTAACTCAAATATGCAAAACCTTGCTTTGCCAAAAAGAAAAAACTGTCCAAACTTTGAGCCCAACACAAATTACTATTTAGGCACTGGATATTTAGCCGGAGACGGCAAACCTTTAGTAAATGTTAGCTTGCCAGATATGCACTGAACATGCGCAGTTACTGTTTTTTTGTACTTAGACATTTTTTGGTGACATATTTTAGTCTGGCTCCATGCCAACATTATCGTTGTAACTTCGTATTCACAAGATGGGAATCAGACCATTTTACAATTTCGGACTTTATTTCCCTTTAAAAAAAAAACCCTCCAGAGCCACAAATCTGAAAAGAAAATGGGCAATTCCACGGTTACTCACGTTACATTTTTGACGTACGTTACATTTTCGTAACGTGAGTAACCGATTTTGTGCGTCTTGTTTATCATACATAACACATTTTTCTGGATGTCATCTTTGGTGCTTAGGTAGGTCTAGGTCTACTCTATCTACCTTGGAGATAAGTTTTTAAACCTTTTCAGTAAGGTAATTACAGCCCAAGGAAACTCAAAAGTACATCAAAAATGTAACGTGAGTAACCATGGAATTCAAGGATTCGGGCAGAAAACAAACATTTCAGTTTTTTAGCAAAAACGGTCCAAATCTGCAAAGTTTTCCATATCCGCGGTCATCAAAATTACTGATTTTGGGCCAAAAAATCCAACTTCATGAAACTAAGTCAAATGTTCACACAAGGTGTGTAGATGCCAGCAATGAATCCCCAAGAGATTTCGGCTCACTACAGTCAGGATTCGGGCAGAAAACAAACATTTCAGTTTTTTAGCAAAAATGGTCCAAATCTGCAAAGTTTTCCATATCCGCGGTCATCAAAAATACTGATTTGGGGCCAAAAAATCCAACTTCACGAAACTAAGTCAAATGTTCACACAAGGTGTGTACATGCCAGCAATGAATCCCCAAGAGATTTCGGCTCACTACAGTCAGGATTCGGGCAGAAAACAAACATTTCAGTTTTTTAGCAAAAATGGTCCAAATCTGCAAAGTTTTCCATATCCGCAGTCATCAAAAATACTGATTTTGGTCCGAAAAATCCAACTTCACGAAACTAAGTCAAATGTTCACACAAGGTGTGTACATGCCAGCAATGAATCCCCAAGAGATTTCGGCTCACTACAGTCAGGATCCGGGCAGAGAACAAACATTTCAGTTTTTAGCAAAAATGGTCAAAATCTGCAAAGTTTTCCATATCAGCGGTCATCAAAAATACTGATTTTGGGCCAAAAAATCCAACTTCACGAAATTAAGTCAAATGTTCACACAAGGTGTGTAGATGCCAGCAAAGAATCCCCAAGAGATTTCGGCTCACTACAGTCTGGATTCGGGCAGAAAACAAACATTTCAGTTTTTTAGCAAAAATGGTCCAAATCTGCAAAGTTTTCCATATCCGCGGTCATCAAAAATCCAACTTCACGAAACTAAGTCAAATGTTCACACAAGGTGAGTAGATGCCAGCAATGAATCCCCAAGAGATTTCGGCTCACTACAGTCAGGATCTGGGCAGAGAACAAACATTTCAGTTTTTAGCAAAAATGGTCCAAATCTGCAAAGTTTTCCATATCCGCGGTCATCAAAAATACTGATTTTGGGCCAAAAATCCAACTTCACGAAACTAAGTCAAATGTTCACACAAGGAGTGTAGATGCCAGCAATGAATTCCCAAGAGATTTCGGCTCACTACAGTCAGGATCCGGGCAGAAAACAAACATGTCAGTTTTGGTCCAAATCTGCAAAGTTTTCCATATCCGCAGTCATGAAAAATACTGATTTTGGGCCAAAAAATCCAACTTCACGAAACTAAGTCAAATGTTCACACAAGGTGTGTAGATGCCAGCAATGAATCCCCAAGAGATTTCGGCTCACTACAGTCAGGATTCGGGCAGAAAACAAACATTTCAGTTTTTTAGCAAAAATGGTCCAAATCTGCAAAGTTATCCATGTCCGCGGTCATCAAAAATACTGATTTTGGGCCAAAAAATCCAACTTCACGAAACTAAGTCAAATGTTTACACAAGGTGTGTACATGCCAGCAATGAATCCCCAAGAGATTTCGGCTCACTACAGTCAGGATTCGGGCAGAAAACAAACATTTCAGTTTTTAGCAAAAATGGTCCAAATCTGCAAAGTTTTCCATATCCGCGGTCATCAAAAATACTGATTTTGGGCCAAAAAATACAACTTCACGAAACTAAGTCAAATGTTCACACAAGGTGTGTAGATGCCAGCAATGAATCCCCAAGAGATTTCGGCTCACTACAGTCAGGATCCGGGCAGAGAACAAACATTTTAGTTTTTAGCAAAAATGGTCCCAAATCTGCAAAGTTTTTCATATCCGCGGTCATCAAAAATACTGATTTTGGGCCAAAAAATCCAACTTCACGAAATTAAGTCAAATGTTCACACAAGGTGTGTAGATGCCAGCAAAGAATCCCCAAGAGATTTCGGCTCACTACAGTCAGGATTCGGGCAGAAAACAAACATTTCAGTTTTTTAGCAAAAATGGTCCAAATCTGCAAAGTTTTCCATATCCGTGGTCATCAAAAATACTGATTTTGGGCCAAAAAATACAACTTCACGAAACTAAGTCAAATGTTCACACAAGGTGTGTAGATGCCAGCAATGAAACCCCAAGAGATTTCGGATCACTACAGTCAGGATTCGGGCAGAAAACAAACATTTCAGTTTTTTAGCAAAAATGGTCCAAATCTGCAAAGTTTTCCATATCCGCGGTCATCAAAAATACAACTTCACGAAACTAAGTCAAATGTTCACACAAGGTGTGTAGATGCCAGCAATGAATCCCCAAGAGATTTCGGCTCACTACAGTCAGGATCTGGGCAGAGAACAAACATTTCAGTTTTTTAGCAAAAATGGTCCAAATCTGCAAAGTTATCCATATCCGCGGTCATCAAAAATACTGATTTTGGGCCAAAAAATCCAACTTCACGAAACTAAGTCAAATGTTTACACAAGGTGTGTACATGCCAGCAATGAATCCCCAAGAGATTTCGGCTCACTACAGTCAGGATTCGGGCAGAAAACAAACATTTCAGTTTTTAGCAAAAATGGTCCAAATCTGCAAAGTTTTCCATATCCGCGGTCATCAAAAATACTGATTTTGGGCCAAAAAATACAACTTCACGAAACTAAGTCAAATGTTCACACAAGGTGTGTAGATGCCAGCAATGAATCCCCAAGAGATTTCGGCTCACTACAGTCAGGATCCGAGCAGAGAACAAACATTTTAGTTTTTAGCAAAAATGGTCCCAAATCTGCAAAGTTTTTCATATCCGCGGTCATCAAAAATACTGATTTTGGGCCAAAAAATCCAACTTCACGAAATTAAGTCAAATGTTCACACAAGGTGTGTAGATGCCAGCAAAGAATCCCCAAGAGATTTCGGCTCACTACAGTCAGGATTCGGGCAGAAAACAAACATTTCAGTTTTTTAGCAAAAATGGTCCAAATCTGCAAAGTTTTCCATATCCGTGGTCATCAAAAATACTGATTTTGGGCCAAAAAATACAACTTCACGAAACTAAGTCAAATGTTCACACAAGGTGTGTAGATGCCAGCAATGAAACCCCAAGAGATTTCGGATCACTACAGTCAGGATTCGGGCAGAAAACAAACATTTCAGTTTTTTAGCAAAAATGGTCCAAATCTGCAAAGTTTTCCATATCCGCGGTCATCAAAAATACAACTTCACGAAACTAAGTCAAATGTTCACACAAGGTGTGTAGATGCCAGCAATGAATCCCCAAGAGATTTCGGCTCACTACAGTCAGGATCTGGGCAGAGAACAAACATTTCAGTTTTTAGCAAAAATGGTCCAAATCTGCAAAGTTTTCCATATCCGCGGTCATCAAAAATACTGATTTTGGGCCAAAAAATACAACTTCACGAAACTAAGTCAAATGTTCACACAAGGTGTGTAGATGCCAGCAATGAATCCCCAAGAGATTTCGGCTCACTACAGTCAGGATTCGGTCAGAGAACAAACATTTCAGTTTTTAGTAAAAATGGTCCAAATCTGCAAAGTTTTCCATATCCGCGGTCATCAAAAATACTGATTTTGGGCCAAAAAATCCAACTTCACGAAACTAAGTCAAATGTTCACACAAGGTGTGTACATGCCAGCAATGAATACCCAAGAGATTTCGGCTCACTACAGTAAGGATTCGGGCAGAAAACAAACATTTCAGTTTTTTAGCAAAAATGGTCCAAATCTGCAAAGTTTTCCATATCCGCGGTCATCAAAAATACTGATTTTGGGCCAAAAAATCCAACTTCACGAAACTAAGTCAAATGTTCACACAAGGTGTGTACATGCCAGCAATGAATCCCCAAGAGATTTCGGCTCACTACAGTCAGGATTCGGGCAGAAAACAAACATTTCAGTTTTAGCAAAAATGGTCCAAATCTGCAAAGTTTTCCATATCCGCGGTCATCAAAAATACTGATTTTGGGCCAAAAAATCCAAGTTCACGAAACTAAGTCAAATGTTCACACAAGGTGTGTAGATGCCAGCAATGAATCCCCAAGAGATTTCGGCTCACTCCAGTCAGGATTCGGGCAGAAAACAAACATTTCAGTTTTTAGCAAAAATGGTCCAAATCTGCAAAGTTTTCCATATCCGCGGTCATCAAAAATACTGATTTTGGGCCAAAAAATCCAACTTCACAAAACTAAGTCAAATGTTCACACAAGGTGTGTAGATGCCAGCAATGAATCCCCAAGAGATTTCGGCTCACTACAGTCAGGATTCGGGCAGAAAACAAACATTTCAGTTTTTAGCAAAAATGGTCCAAATCTGCAAAGTTTTCCATATCCGCGGTCATCAAAAATACTGATTTTGGGCCAAAAAATCCAAGTTCACGAAACTAAGTCAAATGTTCACACAAGGTGTGTAGAT